ATCTGTGATAGGGATGATGCGTAGGGAACGTGTGTGTGTGTGTGTGTGGAAGCAGGAGTTCAGTGTTTATAAGCATCTGCCAGATCACTGTTATTTCTGCTGTGTTTGTTGGTGTTACAGTGAAATCCTCACACACACACACACACACACAGCGTTATAAAGCTCAAGACTTTCATAATTCATCGTCGCAGAGCTTTCTGATGTGTTTTCCAGCTCGTTATGACTCTCATCCGGGTAATTATGAGGAGCTTCGTTAGAGAGATGCTTTTTATTTATGATGCTGTTTGTTATTAGTTATGTGCATAAATCATAAACTCATTAATTACACAAAGCCGACGGAGAGGGATAAACCCCAGGACGTCCCGGAGAAGCGCAGAGTTTGATCTTCTGAGTGTGTGAAGGATGATGATTGACGGGTTCCAGCGACACGGAAAGAAGGACATTGAAAATCAACATCTTTCTGAACACAAAATGACAGATTTAGGACTTCATTAGTGACCAAAAAGCCCCATTATTTGTTCTGGTTTTACACCTAATTTGAATTCATTTTTCATTAAACAAGTCTTCATATTTTCAGTCATGTTCTTCTCCAGATAATGTGTCTTGATATGATAATGTTTGTACATTAGTGCTGGAAAACGAGACAGAATCACTGAGGAAGAACATCTAATTAAAGGCATTTTGTTTGTAGAGCAGAACTGAAAGGATTTGTTCTTCTTCACATATAACGAGTGCTGGAGTTTAATACGAACACAGTTTGATATTTGTTTTTATAGCACTCACAGTATATGGAGCTTTTGGTCATTATGCATCTGCTAAATACCTCATTTAGTGTTCGGGAACACACAGAAACTCTATTAAAGGCACATTATTAAACATTATGGCAACCTTCCTTTTGAATGTTCTCTGAACAAAGAACTTTTTCAAAAACATTAGACGGGATAATGATGACATGAATGATGTATAAAGTCTTTAAAGACCAGATAACTGTGTTTTCAATGAACGTTCCATTCTTCACACATTATGAGATCGTTACTTTTGAATCTTCTTTGAACGTTCCGAAACATTTAAAAACTGTCACATGAACGTCCAACTGAAACATTCCACGCATTTTGAACTTTGAATGAACGTTCTATCGACGTTTGTTCCGAACCTTGCCGGTGTTCTGTCGATTTTTGCTGCCTTGTCGAAAAATGCTACCGTAGCGCGAATTGATCACAGAATGCCGATTGAAATACAATTATAATACAATTCTAAGTTATGAATAGCAACTGTATACTGTAGACTACTGCTTTTAATTTTTAAAATGGTGTGAAAAGTAAAAATTATCATAAAATATTCATCTTTGACTTGTCAAAGTACACCTTTCCTCATAGTAACTGAAAATTTCAGTTATTGTTTTTCAGCTGGCTGACCGTACAAATATTCGTAAGCATTTTTAAAAGGGAAATTATACATTATAACAGGAAAATGTACCTGTTATAAAAGAAAAAAAAGAAAAGAATCGTTTTATTTTTATCAATTAAACTTTATGCGGACCGAATGAACGACACATTCCTGATGCCTATTTCCCATCATGCACTGCTCTCAGATCCGTCCTTTTTTAAACGTTTTAAAGACGTTTCGCATTCATTTCACACACATATTATGAGAACGTTACTTTTGAATTTTCTCGAGAAGGAACATGTCACATAACTGAACGTATAATAGCAGATCACTCTTATTAATGCTTTGAGTGTTATCTATAACTGGAGTGTTCCTCCATTAACCGTGTGTGTGTTTAATGAACTGGACTCTTACAGCAGGAGCGCTGCGTCGCATCTCAAGCTTCCACCGCCCCGTCCGGCACAAAGCTCTTGTGTTTCGCTCAAATTCCTGCAATTTTCAGGGAATTAATCTTTTTTTTCTCCAGGCGTGAGCATCAACAAGTCTTTAGAGCGTAATGCTCTTAGCAGGTCATTAAGCTTTTTGAGCGTGTAACGGCGAACACTGAGCGCTTCTGTGTCCGTCTCTGATCACTGACACTTTAATAAAGTCGTTTTAAGTTCAGCCGACTGAATTTTGCACCTTTTCTGCGGTCGCCATGGTTACGGGGAAGCGAGGAGCATTCAGCTTTTACATGCAAATGCGGAGAGAAAGAGCTTTCAGGCGCTCGGCTTTTCTCTCAATCGTCTCCATCTGACAGCGCTGGACTAAAGGAACTCTTAAAGCGTGAAAAACGCCCGTCTCTCTCGCCCTCTCTCTCTCTCCGCCGGGTCAGAAAGTTGCTCTTGATGTTTTGCTCTTTAACTCTCCTCATATTCACTTCCTCTTCTGGGCTCCGGAGAAACAGGAGAGCTATGTCGAATCGGCCACAATCACGTCAGTTAGCGGTGAAGGAAGGCGTTCTCGTGTCAGGAGCGGAGCATGATGGGAAACCATGATCGAGCGACGCGTTTGCTTTTCATAGATACAGATGGAACAGTTCTTCTTGAAATATGATCAGATTTATTAGACTCTTCAGGATTGATGTTCTCGTCGATAGAACGTTCATTCAAAGTTCAGAATGCGTGGAATGTTTCAGTTGGACGTTCATGTGACAGTTTTTAAATGTTTCGGAACGTTCAGAGAAGATTCAAAAGTAACGTTCTCATAATGTGTGAAGAATGGAACGTTCACGTAACGCCTTTGAAGCGTTTAATAAAGGACGGCTCTGAGAGCAGAGCATGATGGGAAACAGGAGGATCATCAGGAATGTGTCGTTCATTCGGTCCGCATACAAGTTTCATTGATAAAATCAAAACAATTGTGTGTGTGTGTGTGTGTGTGTGTGTGTGTGTGAGTGTGTGTTTGAAGCTGTGTCGGAGTATGAGTGTCTGTGTTTCTGTGAGTGTGTGTGTTTGAATCTGAGTCGGATTAAGTGCGTGTGTGTGTGTTAGTGTGTGAGTGTGCGTGTGTGTGCGTGTGTATGTGTGTGTTAGTGAGTGAGTGAGTGAGTGAGTGAGTGAGTGAGTGAGTGAGTGTGTGTTTAAATCGGAGTCGGTGTTGTGTGTGTGTGTGTGTGTGTGTGTGTGTGTGTGTGTGTATGTCTGAATCGGAGTCGGAGTGTGTGTGTTGTGTTGTGTGTATGTCTGAATCGGAGTCAGAGTGTGTGTGTGTGTGTGTGTGTATGTCTGAATCGGAGTCGGAGTGTGTTGTGTGTGGTGTATGTCTGAATCGGAGTCGGAGTGTGTGTGTGTGTGTGTGTGTGTATGTCTGAATCAGAGTCGGAGTGTGTGTGTGTGTGTGTGTGTGTATGTCTGAATCGGGAGTCGGAGTGTTGTGTGTGTGTGTGTGTATGTCTGAATCGGAGTCAGAGTGTGTGTGTGTGTGTGTGTGTGTGTATGTCTGAATCGGAGTCGGAGTGTGTGTGTGTGTGTGTGTGTGTATGTCTGAATCGGAGTCGGAGTGTGTGTGTGTGTGTGTGTGTATGTCTGAATCGGAGTCAGAGTGTGTGTGTGTGTGTGTGTGTGTATGTCTGAATCAGAGTCGGAGTGTGTGTGTGTGTGTGTGTGTGTGTCTGAATCAGAGTCGGAGTGTGTGTGTGTGTGTGTGTTGTGTGTGTGTATGTCTGAATCGGAGTCGGAGTGTGTGTGTGTGTGTGTGGTGTGTGTATGTCTGAAATCAGAGTCGGAGTGTGTGTGTGTGGTGTTGTGTGTATGTCTGAATCAGAGTCGGAGTGTGTGTGTGTGTGTCTGAATCGGAGTCGGAGTGTGTGTGTGTGTGTGTGAGAGTGTGTATGTCTGAATTGGAGTCG